GAAAATCGAAAATCGAAAATCGAAAATCGAAAATCGAAAATCGAAAATCGAAAATCGAAAATCGAAAATCGAAAATCGAAAATCGAAAATCGAAAATCGAAAATCGAAAATCGAAAATCGAAAATCGAAAATCGAAAATCGAAAATCGAAAATCGAAAATCGAAAATCGAAAATCGAAAATCGAAAATCGAAAATCGAAAATCGAAAATCGAAAATCGAAAATCGAAAATCGAAAATCGAAAATCGAAAATCGAAAATCGAAAATCGAAAATCGAAAATCGAAAATCGAAAATCGAAAATCGAAAATCGAAAATCGAAAATCGAAAATCGAAAATCGAAAATCGAAAATCGAAAATCGAAAATCGAAAATCGAAAATCGAAAATCGAAAATCGAAAATCGAAAATCGAAAATCGAAAATCGAAAATCGAAAATCGAAAATCGAAAATCGAAAATCGAAAATCGAAAATCGAAAATCGAAAATCGAAAATCGAAAATCGAAAATCGAAAATCGAAAATCGAAAATCGAAAATCGAAAATCGAAAATCGAAAATCGAAAATCGAAAATCGAAAATCGAAAATCGAAAATCGAAAATCGAAAATCGAAAATCGAAAATCGAAAATCGAAAATCGAAAATCGAAAATCGAAAATCGAAAATCGAAAATCGAAAATCGAAAATCGAAAATCGAAAATCGAAAATCGAAAATCGAAAATCGAAAATCGAAAATCGAAAATCGAAAATCGAAAATCGAAAATCGAAAATCGAAAATCGAAAATCGAAAATCGAAAATCGAAAATCGAAAATCGAAAATCGAAAATCGAAAATCGAAAATCGAAAATCGAAAATCGAAAATCGAAAATCGAAAATCGAAAATCGAAAATCGAAAATCGAAAATCGAAAATCGAAAATCGAAAATCGAAAATCGAACATCGAAAATCGAAAATCGAAAAATCCAAAAATTGAAAAGTCGAAAAAACAACAGTTAGTTACTTATGTTTAATAAAAACTTTCCATTCTACACTTAACTTTTATTTAATAAAGAAACCATAATGGTCGTGGACAAAGTATAGTATTAGACTCGCAATTTATGGCCATTATTCACTCGGGTGACTTGCGCCCCTCGCCTACGGCTCGGGACGCAAACGTCACCCTGCGTGAATAATGGCTACCATAAATTGCTCGTTTAATAATATACTATTAAGTGGGTGTTAATAAAATATGTAAACTTTTAATTTAATTATGGTATCGAATATATCAAATCCTTTTTGAAATGTCATATACAGGGTGTTATTCGACCGACAACGTTTTACCCCAGAGAGTTCCTGTTAATTGTTGAATTTTTATACATAAAATTGGACTATGCTTATCTAAAAGGAACCAAGTGACAAATTGGTAAAAATGAGTTAAAGGCGTCAAGCGACAGAGGCAGGTTTAATTTACCTTGTATAAAAAGATTCAATGACTAGGGTCTACTCTAGTGCCATCTTTTTGCCAATAAACCAAAGGACACATTAGAAAACGTAAATTCCTAATTTTAATAAATGGAACCATTTACCAAAAATATCTTCAAACTCATGTTTCTAGGTAGCCTAATAAACTTATAAAATTATGCCTATGATAACATATTAACTATCTGAAACTAATTCAAAAAGCTGGAGTTCTCTATACTCATTATTATAATAAAGCATTATCATCTTTAACCCCTAATATCTCAAAATTCCAATTTGGCGCTTGGTTCTTTTTAAATAAACATAGTCCAAATATGAACAGAGAGATACAGAATGTTAAATATTTTGGCATAAACTAACTTTTGAAAAATTTAACCAGTGAGGCGCTATCAGGATTAGTGGCAATTTATATATCTTTATTTTTTACGGGACAACTTTTTTTATTTTCTTCTTTTGTACATTTTAAGAAAAAGTAATTATATACTTTTATGCAGCTAAAATGGACGATGTTGTAAAAATTTGCTTCTACCCAAACGGCTGCAAGTACTTAGATAATTTGTAACTATACACTAAACATAAAAACTTATAAACACGTCCAGCAAGTATGTTTTCGGCTTGTAAATAAAGTTTATTTCGTAAGTGTATGGAAAATTTATTAGAAGTTTACAAATTTTTATTTATAAGTAAGTTTTTAAGAGAAAATTCATATTTTTAAACTTGAAGCAATCTTATTTTTGTATATTTGCAAAATAAAATTAACAGACAATTTTCTTTCATAAATTAATTTTTGAAAACTTTATATAAGTTCAATAACACAAATTTATATCCAATTTAAAAATAAAAAGTTGCAGACACTTGCCGCAAGTTTATTTTCGGCTTACAATAATTTATTTCGATAAGTATGTGGAAAATTTATTATAATTTGCCTAAAAATTAATTGAATTAGTTTTTAAGAAGGTTAATCACAATATTAAAAACATCTTTCGGCCTTGGACCAAGCATTTTATTTCAATATACAGGGATTTCATTTCAAACCTAGCCACCGAAAATAACTTTTAAAATATCTTTAAAACAAAAAAACAAAAAGACATGTTAATTTATATTTACTGGGGGACACATTTTACAAGTAGCTGTAACCGTGCAGTTTCATCCCCTAAGCGGTGGTGAATATCACTTCTAAAATTTTAAATAGAAAGGGGTATCATGTGATAGCTCTTCTTAAAGGTCTCTTTTTTCCCAATCTTTTGACACATTTTTTTAAATCGGATTAATTTTTCACCAAGTTATAACCTAAAAATATTGAATTAAAGTGCATGAGTATAAATACCGAGATAAACAAGTTAGCAAAAAAAGCCTTAAATGTTTTTTGCGTAAGATATTTTTGACCGTAAATTAAAATAATTTATTATTAGTAGATTATTGGTTTCGTTGTGTACTGACAATTTAATTTTGACAATGGTTTATTCTTTACAAGAAAGAATTGAAATAATCTTTATTTATGGTGAAGAACAACGCTGTGCATGCAGAACTGCTCGTGTTTTTAATCAGAGACATCCCGATAAAAATGTTGGGCATCAGTAGGTATGTGTTGGATTTAGTTCATAAATTTCAAGAAACTGGAAGTGTGTGCAATAAAACTGTAAGGAATCGTAGAGTTTTAACTGAAGCTGCACAAGTTGAGATTTTAGGTCATTTTGCCATGGAACCTCAAACATCAATACCAAAAGTCTCCAGATTAACAAATATTTCCGTTGGCTCTGTGCATAAAACGTTACGGCTAAATAAATTCTTTCCTTACAAAATACAGCTTTTACAACAGCTTGCTGAGGATGATTATGACAGAAGATTAGAATTTTGCGAATTAATGACTCAAAGGGCAAATGAAGACCATAATTTTATTAAAAATATTTGTTTTACTGACGAGGCAGGTTTCTTTTTAAACGGATTTGTCAATAAACATAATTTTAGGTACTGGGACAATACAAATCCACATGTTTTTCGGGAAGAGCACAGCCAATATCCTCAGAAAATCAATGTATGGGCCGGAATTCTTGGTAATAAAATTAATGGTCCTATTTTCATGGAGGAAAATTTAACTGGGAAATTGTATTTGAACTTATTAGAAAATCTGATAAATCCTCTTATAACCCAATCCTTAGAAAACCAAATAGATCAAGATGGAAATTTGTTACTAGACGAAGAAAACCTATTTTTTCAATAGGACGGAGCACCTCCACATTATGCCTTGCCTGTAAGAAATTGGCTTAATGAGACATTTCCAGATAAATGGATCGGAAGAAGGGGCGCTATAGAATGGCCAGCGAGATCACCCGACTTAACGCCCCTTGACTTTTTTTATGGGGACATCTAAAAACTGTGGTGTATAAAATTCAACCTCGCGATATTCCTGAACTTAGACGTAGAATAGTGGAGGAGTGTGAGCGGATTACACCAGAGACGCCTCAAAAAGTGCGGGATGAATTCGAGCTGCGACTTTACCATTGCCTTGTCAACAATGGCGGACATTTTGAACATCTTATTTAAGTACAATGTAATTCTTACGCAAATAAAATATTAATAATGTAAATACAATGTAAATAATAATTATTTTAATTTAAAAGGTTAAAATGGCATAACTTGGTGAAAAATTAATCCGATTGAAAAAAATAATATGTTAAAAGATTGGAAAAAAAGAGACCTTTAAGAAGAGCTATCACATGATACCCCTTTCTATTTAAAATTTTAAAAGTGATATTCACCACCGCTTAAGGGATGAAACTGCACGGTTACAGATACTTGTAAAATGTCTCCCCCCGTAAATATAAATTAACGTGTTTTTTGTTTTTTTGTTTTAAATATATTTTAAAAGTTATTTTAGGTGGCTAGTTTTGAAATGAAATCCCTGTATGTATGTAATACATACCCATGGTATAAAAAATAAAATACATACCCACACACACAAGCCTTCTGAAACTTTCCATAGGTTTCACATTTTAATATAAGCAAAATATTTTTGTAGCCGGACATGGAAGGCATCCTTACGGGCCGAACTATATATATGAACGCGGCTACAATGTAGTGGGCTGCCGACATTCGGCTGGGCGGACATGCCCTACCTATAGGCCGAAGCTGCACCCGTATATCGGGCCGAGTCCGGCATCCGGCAAGCCTCCTTCGGCCCAGTTACGGTGCCGATTAACTGTGTTTATTGGGGTAGATTCAAACTTGACGAAAGCTATCAATAAATATTTAACAAACTTGCATTTATATTTGTAAGCTTGCAATAAATTTGCAGTGAATGTATTTTGCTTAGTATGTGGGTATTCATTATTCTAATCTAGTAGGCACGTGTCAAATTTTTAATAGGTATAGTCTATGTATTTGACAAGATCTTGATAGATCATATTTGAATTTTGATTTTAAACTTTTAACTCCCTGTATCTCGTAACTAAGCCCTTTAAAGGATTTATGTTTCTATGGAGTAGAGCGATGTCGGTCGAATATACCTACTATCACCCTGTATAATTTATCTAAATGTGTGTATATTTTCAGATATTCTTTCTAGTAATATTATTCGGACTGTTTCACGGCGTTGTACTTTTACCTGTGATTTTAAGCATGATAGGACCAAATCCATATCCTACTCATAAGAAGTCCTCTCAAGACCAGCCAGAACTAAAACCTCTAGACAGTTGACGTCCGAAGAAAAAAAATTAGACAAATTTTGTTAAATAGGGTTTTGAATTAAAGCAATTTTTATTTTTTATAAATAGTTTTTTTATTTAGCGGGACTAGAGATTAAATAATTTTAATTTTATTTACTTCTTGTGATTAATTTTAACGATTTTAGTAAAAATTTGGTATAACCATTGTAATACAATGGGGTATAACTTTTGAAGAATTTCATGCAAAACCGAAATCTGTTGCAAAACTGATCTTCCCGCCATCTACTTACCGGTAGCTAAAATATAAACTCACTTTTGCAGATAATTGAGAAATTTCACTTAGATGTTCAACTACCGTAATATAGAGGGAGGCACCTGTATGTAAAATTATTTTCTGAAGGAACTTGTGAAATAATCTTAGATAAAGCCAAAAAATAACTTGTGAAATAATCTTAGATAAAGCCAAAAAATAATAAATATATTTTTGTTCATTTTAAATGAAATCTATAAATAGAAACTTTTTTAAAAATAAAAATGTGATAAGTACAACCACTGTATTTAGATATATCTTTGGTAGGTATGGTGCATTGAATTTGTTCGTAACATCTTTATTCTGACAGTACGCTCCTTCCCATGTTGTCACAAGATCACTTCCACTAAATATCCTGCATTAAATTTTTTTTAAAAAATTTACTATTCCCTTTAGTAGGCGAGTTCGGTCAGTCAGGGGCTGGAGCGGGACAAATTTTAGGGTGCTTTTAAATGACATTTAAGCGTGTTAAACTGTCACTAATCGGACTAAACCTAACGCTAAAAGGGTCGTTTGGAGTTAAAAGTGTTAAAGGAGTTAAAGGAACTTGGCAGACCGAACGCAATAATGAGTATAATCTATTAAAAAAAAAAAAAAAAGAATTGAAAGTTTACAATATGAGTGTCTTATTAATTACACTTAAGATTTTTATTTATCTTCTTTTACACCTACACGTATATCGTACCTATGTGGATATTCATGTGGTTTCATAATCTTTAAGTTTGGCAACCTAAGCCTTTCTAGTGACGGCATCAAGTGACGGCTTAATTTTTATAGTGCTTTTTTGTAATTATTGGACATTAAGGATGGCGAGAAAATGTGTAGTGTGCCAAATTATTTTTAATAACAATGTTATGCGGTCATTTCTTAGGTAAGGTTTTCTTTAGCATAGAGAGAAATATAGGGAATAAGGCTTGATTTATTTAACATTGCCCAACTAGCACATAACCTTGCCAAGCCTTTCGGCGATGTTGCTTTAAGGGAACGTAATAACTTTACTAACGTAAATGAAACGGTCATGAGAAGTTGTTGAGGAAAATCAAAACCTCGCAAAACTTCTATTCGTTACTTATCTATTTAACCTACTTGTTATGTTAACACAACGTAATATAGTAATTTTCTTAAAAAAATAACCACGTGAAGTACTGTAAACATCACAATAGGTCTTTTCCTTTGCATCGAAAGTGTAGCACTGAGCTACCCAGACAGCACACTATATTCTTGGCATATGCCACTAATCTGCCTATTTGCCAAAATATATTGCAATATTTATGGAATATTCACAGAATATATTTCATATTCTATATTCTAGAAAGATATTCCAGGCATATGTATTTTTGATATGCTCTGCATATTCATTTTTCATATTGTATAGATATCTCTGTAGAATATTATATTTAACTATTTTGTTTTATTATTTATAAGTACAAATGAAGATATAGTCTACAGAATCATCCTTTGTTTAGTTTATAAAGACTTAAATTAAACAAAAACGTGAACTTAGAACAACGGAATGTAACTTTAAATCATGCAAACTTATTTTCAATTAATAAAAAAAATCAAACCTCCGAGATCAAATTATCTTTATCTCCATAGATAAAATAAGTATGTATAGTTTTCCTATAATGTAGACAAGAAAAGGACAAAAGAATGATTCTAAAAGTCAAAAGTATGCGCCTAGTAAGTATTGGTAGTTGGTAGTAAAAATTACCTAATAGTGTCTTATTGGATGCACTCATAATCTAGCCTATCGTCGAACGTAAGTCTTTGTTACACGGGAAGTTAGATTGTTAGGAATATTTTTTTATTCATGATACCTTGGTCAAATACTCTAAACGATGAAGGCCACTAATAAAAAAAAGAAGAAGAATAAGACACATAACCAAACATTGTCAGATTTGCTAACGTGATTATCCTTCCTCCATGGAGTTTTAGTTTTTTCTCACGATATACCCACCTAAGGGGTAAGTCTGATTAATTATAATATATGGCCCTTCTGTAGTATCAGTGTAGTGCTTAAAATCATAAATATTTTATAAGAAGTGTAAATCAATTGGTAGACGAATCTTTTGTTCTCAAATAATGATAGAGCATTGGCTTCAGATGAATGTAAAATGTAAGCTTCTTACTGAATCTTCCGAGGAAATACCATTATTCTTTTCTCCAGGAAAAAACTCGTGTACAATTCAAGAATCTGAGTTTATTTCAACAGCTCTCTTTGTATAGGATAATATTAATTCAAAGACATCTACTAATGATTTTCCTATTCTTAGTAATAAAGTAACTGATCATTATAAAAGTGTTAAGAGGAAATAAAAATATGGACAATTCGCAATAAAATTGCAGACAAGGCACTATGTAAACCTATTTTTGTTTTTTTAGAGATGTGTAGGAAAATCCATAGTACACAAATGGCAACGGAAAATGTAGAGGCCTTTACTATAAATAAAGTGACCCAAAAATGCTATAGAAGTAAGTATTATTGTAATGTTTGTCTCAAGATTTTAAAATATTTCTATTTTACTGATATACATATCTTAATATGTCATTTTTTTTAGCAGAAAAGTACGTGAAGAACCTCAACAAATAAATTTATTTTTTTAGTTTTTTGTATGTATGTATTGTTTTATTTTTTAAAATTTGCTTTATTTTCAAAATAAAATTTATTTTGTATTTAAGTATGGGTTTTATTTTCTAAACTATGGTGCGGCATTACAAAAAAAAAATTGAATATGCCATGAATATTCAAAATACCATGAATATAGGCATACATAGATATCCTCAGTAAATTCAGAGAATATGCCATACATATATTTTGGCAGATAAAAATATATCGTGGGCATATGTTTCATGGTGACCTTGAATATTCCTGCAATCTTCCCGTCATATGCCATGGCGGATATGGCATATCCATGGAATATAGGAGTATGCAGTTGAGATATGCATTGAATATTCATGCAATATTTTTGTGCTGTCTGGGTACACCACTTCTGAAAATATCGTTCCATTTATACAAATTGTATGGATGGAACGATATTTTCAGAAGCGATGTATCTCAGTGCTACACTTTTTTTATAAAATAATTTGAAGTTAATTCATATGCTTTACCATTTTTTTGCTGGACCGGCGCGGCGCCATTTGAATTGACTTCGCGCGCCGGTCATAAATAATAATAAAAAAATAAAATATTTATAGCAACATGAAAACATAAAAAACTCACTCAAACACGTCGAAGAACACAAAAAAAGCTTTAGGAAAACGATTTCTTCATTGTAGACCGCAGCCATGTTCAGCTATATCAGTAACGGAGAGCTCATTATGCGCAGGAAGCTCTTTCGTAGTCCAGTTAGCTATCCACGTTTGGTATTCAGCTTCAAAATTGTCGATTCCAAATTTGTCCACTATTATCATTTTCTGATCGGTAGTGAAAAAAGTATAATTTTTTATGTTTTTAGTATGTCACAGGCCTAAAGAAACTATAATATCTATCTAACAAAATATGAGTGATGCCTATCTTATACGTTGTTAAGTCGTAAAAGTTCCCCCTTGCCCCCACCCCCCAAACGACGCCCATGATTCATGGTTATCCACGAAGTTGTCAAATTATTATGAGTATGTGTGTTATGCTCAGAGTAAGTAAGTAGTAAAGAGAGGACAGTAAACAATGTTTGTGTCGCCATGATAATATGGTCGAGAATTCTAATTAGAGAGAAATAGATTAATATCTCTATCTCTTTGTTTGTATTTGTCAGTTTTACAGAGCTTTTCTCAGACAATTATTCCAGTGTTTAATTTAAATTTGTTCGTGTTGTGGTGTTAAAAGTAATTGTTATTAATATTATATTCCTAACAAAAAAGTCATATTTTGTTTTCACTTCATTAAAAATGCACCTACCTACCTACCTACCTTTTAAAACATTTTATTTTATATTCTATTTGGTCAACATTTTCGCATTTAAAATGACCCAGCGAAATTGTTTTACGGTACGCTACTGCAGAGAATTCTAAAACGAGTGAGAAAGCCTTCATTAGAAAGAGAGATACTGATTATAATATGATAGCGAGATTAATATTGTATAACCATTGTATAAATATGCAGTGGTGGCCTATCTGCTATTATATTATCTAAGGTGTTATGTAACAAGGATTATTCATGATTATAAATCGGTATTGACTTAAAATAAAGCTATAAAACGCACAAAAGGCTTTCAAAATTACATTAAGGAAGTATGTTTGCATTCTTAATGCCAGTTATTATCAGTAGTAATACTATAAGTACTTCAAAATAATCAGGTTATACATCGATAACTTGTTGCATAATTATAAAGAGTGTCAGTTTGACAGTTTAAATAATCCGACCGCAAAGCGGGAGGATTATTCTGTCAAACTGACACGATTTGTAATTATGCAGGAAGTTTGAGATGTATAACCGTATTTATTTTGAAATACGTATTGTATTTGATACGATTATTTTTTGAGTAAATTAAGTAAATTTCAACAATTTATTAATTTAAATACATATTGGTACAATGAAAATTACAATTATTAATTATTGATATACGTCAAAATTTGACGGTCCTGTTATTTAGTGTATTGTTGTCGATGTGGTTACTACGGAAATGAAATTATTGTCAATATTTTTGATTGGTGGAGCTACTCTATGTATAATCAGGTATTATCGAAATTATACGAGGTAACTTAACTAAATTGAACGTTCTAATTGGTTAAAAGTTATACAAAAAAAATAATCAGTTTAATGTATTTTTCTCTTTACAACTATCACAGTTGAAGATGATTTCCAGAAAAGTTCGCAATTAATTTTGAAGTGTTTGTTTTTTCTAATGTGGCAGCCGATGCGACAGCTCTCTCTGCGTAATATAAAACACAATATTGTTTCGCAGCACCCTGCAGTAGCCTCCGGCTATTATAGGAAACGTACGGATAGAAAAAGAAGTGGAATGTTACTCATCGCCCTACAGTGTGCTGCAGTCGCCATAAGTAAAAATACAAGTAAAAGAAGATAGAATAGTCCAGAAATGTCTGGAATATTCTAGACGACAGTTCGAGAAGGTTCGAGAAGTGTCAAGCAAGCTATGTAAGGATGATCCTGACGTCAGTTATCAG